TAGGTCGGGGGGTTGTTACAGGAGAGGGTGGGTGAGATTCTATGGCCTGCGTTGTGCAGGAGGTCAGACTAGACTATCATAATGGTCCCTTCTGACCTTAAAGTCTATGATTCTATGATTCTCATCCACTGTAAGCCCTAGGTCCTTTTCTGCAGAACTGCTACCTAGCCACTCGGTCCCTAGTCTGTAGCAGTGCATGGGATTCTTCCGTCCTAAGTGCAGGACTCTGCACTTATCCTTGTTGAACCTCATCAGATTTCTTTTGTCCCAATCCTTTAATTTGTCTAGGTCCCTCTGTATCCTATCCCTATCCTCCAGAGTAGCTACCACTCCTCCCAGTGTAGTGTCATCTGCAAACTTGCTGAGGGTGCAATCCATCCCATCCCTCCAGATCATTAATGAAGATATTGATCAAAACCAGCCCCAGGACCGACCCCTGGGGCACTCCACTTGATACCAGCTGCCAACTAGACATGGAGCCACTGATCACTATCTGTTGAGCCCGATAATCTAGCCAGCTTTCTAGCCACCTTATAGTCCATTCATCCAGCCCATACTTCTTTAACTTGCTGGCAAGAATACTGTGGGAGACCATATCAAAACCTTTGCTAAAGTCAAGAAATAACACATCCACTGCTTTCCTCTCATCCACAGAGCCAGTTATCTCATCAAAGAAGGCAATTAGGTTAGTCAGGCCTGACTTGCCCTCGGTGAATCCATGCTGACTGTTCCTGATCACTTTTTCTCTCCTCAAAGTGCTTCGAAATGGATTCCATGAGGACCTGCTCCATGATTTTTCCAGGAACTGAGGTGAAGCTGACTGGCCTGTAGTTCCCTGGTTCCTCCTTCTTCCCTTTTTTAAAGATGGGCACTACATTAGCCTTTTTCCAGTCATTCGGGACCTCCCTGATCGCCACGAGTTTTCAAAGATAATATAATGGGGTTATTCAGTAAGGGAAATATGTTACTTGGTGTTCAAGAGGAGGGGCTGTTTTGTTTTTTAATCTATTCTCCCTTTCACTTCTCAGAGGCGATGAGCCTTGCAGAATTCTAGGTGGTGATTTGTCCTCTCCATTATTATACTTCACTATAGCTTTTCCTTTGCTCTCCATATTTTATTTAGAAGCCAAGTAAAGATCTACCTCATGCTGGTTAAAAAGAACTACTGCATTATTCACTGACTCACTACATCAATGAAGAAAATTCAGCCTCTCTTGGATTTGAAGGTAGACAACCAGCCTATTATGTTTAACTGTAAATCTGTCCTAGATAAACTGTTTTGAGCAGTTCTGCCAGAATTATACCAATTACATTGCTGTGGTTACAGATCCTTGTTATCACCTGGCATGTCAAGTCCCACCTAGTTTTGCAATGTCTGGCTGGTTATTTTGTCTGCAGATACTTTACTGATATTAATGGTAGTCATTTCTATCAATTGATAAATGCTAGAATAGTAGGCCTGTATTTTTAATAAACCAGTCAAAATGAATGAATCATGTAAAATGGACAAGCAATCCATGTCTCAGGTGAGCATTTCCTATGATCTGGCTTAATAAAATCAAGCACTTATAAATCACTTTGCAAACATTAATTAAAGTTCACAGCATGCCTAACAAATAGGCATGGGGTACTTTATAGATGGGGAAATGAAACACACACTGTTTACATGAATTTGCCCAAAACCAGAAAGGGAGTCATTGTCAAAAATGGGATTAAAATTAAGGATTTCCTGTCTTCCAGTCATGTTCTCAGGCCACTAGCCAGTGCATCTGTCTACCTCAATCTCTGAATTACATTTGTTTTTAACACTTTCTGTTGAAATAGTCAATAAGCTTACCCCAACAGTCAGTCAGCTTATTCCTCACAGTCACCCAATGCAAACCTCAAATTTGTCATGTCTTTTTAACTCATGGTCTAATAATTCCTTAGTTATGCAGACCCCTGGGTCACATCTATGCTTTTTTTCCAGGTCATTTCTCATGCTTATTCCCATGGTGCTATCCCAGATGAGAATCTATGAAATAGCTGTTAACACTTTTAGTTTTTATTTTATTTTTATATTATCAGAGTGGCATCTTGTAACACTCCCAGATTACCTGGTTTGTAAAAGTGACTTCATATTCTAAACAAAGCTCTGCCATATGGCAGCTGATCAATGTGAATTTGATATAGAATTTACAATGAGACTTTATCAGCCATTTTTGGAGCTGCAGCCTCACCTTGGCTTAATGTTGTTGTTCTCCCTTTCTTTCTTTAATCTTTTCAGCACAGCATTAACTATTCTCATTCACAATGCTCATTTGGCTCTGGCACTACAGTGCCTTTCCTGGGTAACTCTGAAACCTGCAGATGAAAATGAGCAATGTCAATGCGGATTATTTTAACAAAACCATCCAACCAATGTGGCAAGTGGATGGGCTGTGGTGATCTTTGTCAAATGTATTAGATAAATGAATTGTAACATTTTGGATTGAAATGAGCAATTCATTTCACACACATGATTAAGCCACACTCAGACCATTGCAGCACTACTGACCTATGCTGAATGTGAACCAGGAACAGAAGTGAAAGGTTCTATGTCCTGTTACTTAGCTGTGAGCAGGTAGTACTTTTATCCTACTTCATATAAAATCTTCACAGTCAAACTTACCCCCTACCTAGGTTTTTGTCTTTGTTGGTGACTCCAGTAATAATAGATCATAAATCTCAGCCTAAGATTTCTCCTCAGTCTTGGCTGCTCCTAGAGTTTCCTACAGCACCTTGATAACTCTGCTTCTCCTTCTTGCTGAAAGTTAAGCCTCACCTGTCCTAATGAGTAAGCAGTATTTACTCAGCAGCTTTATGCAGTATTTTAATTCCTGCTAAGAGAGAGAGTTAACATAAGAGTCCTAAATCCCTTTGCTGGGTAATAGATTTGGCCACCTCATCTTCAAACTCTTAGGCACCTACAAAATCACAGGTTTCAGAGGAACAGCCGTGTTAGTCTGTATTCGCAAAAAGAAAAGGAGTACTTGTGGCACCTTAGAGACTAACCAATTTATTTGAGCATGAGCTTTTGTGAGCTACAGCTCACGAAAGCTCATGCTCAGATAAATTGGTTAGTCTCTAAGGTGCCACAAGTACTCCTTTTCTTTTTACAAAATCACTGAGATTCACAAAGTTGGAGTTAAGCACTCAGGTTTCCTATACAACAAATGGAGGCAGACAGGTACCTAAGAATGGATTCACAAAAAGCCAGCATGCCAGACGGCTTCCTGCCTAAACTAGCCAATGGGAAATGCCAAGGAGAAAGGCACGTGCTAAACGCTACCCCTCTCAGGCAGGTCAGTGCCTAAGGCTATGTCTACACTTAAAACACTGCATCGACTTAGCTGCAGCTGGGCTGCATTATAAACTTCAGTGTAGACATGATAGTGATGGGAAGTGTTCTCCTGTTTGCTTTAGTTAATCCATGAGAGGTGGTAGCTAGGTTGACAAGGATTCTTCCATTGACCTAGCCATCTACATGGGGATTTAGGTTGTCTTAACTACGTCGCTCAGGGGGTGTGAAAAATTCATACCACTGCACCGTGTAGCTGTATCAGTCTAATTTTCTAGTGTAGACCAGCCCACCGGTTGGAATGGAGGGAGGCACTCATCTCTGCTTGGGATTCTCAGCTATGAACCCTCTCCTGGAGTCAGATGCCTCTTGCAAGAAGCTTGTGGAGGGGGAGGCCTCCATAACTTCCAGTACAGTGGTTAGGGGACTCATGTGGGATATGGGAGACCCCCAGTTCAAGTCCTACTGCCTGAGGGGAAAAGAGATTTTAACAGGAATCTCCCACTTCTCAAGTGAGTGCCCAAACTGACAGAGTTTAGGTGCCTACAGGGTTTGATGGCAGCTGAGTGGGGTGTTTTGTGAATACCATTGGTGCCTAAATCTGGGCCTACGTCTCTTTGTGAATCTAACCTATAGTAGTAAAGTTAACCATGTGCATGAATGTTTGTAGAATCAGAGCCCTACTGATGTTGAACTATTTTCCACTTCTGAACCAATATGGAAGCTATTTTCTATTTCAATCTCTGACAGCACAGACTTCTCAGCAGAAATTGGACACCTAATCTGTGCCAAATATAGATAGCACTGAGATATTTTTCAATAAAATCACTATCTGAAGTATGTTTAGAGATTTAAACAGAGGACAAAATTCTGTTTGTCAATTCCATATGTTTTGTTGAAATTCACTCCAACTCCTTTCTGTATCACTTTTCCCATCTAGAAAATGTGGGTAATACCTTTCCTCCTCCAGTAGTGTTGTCAAAATTAATTACACTCCACAAAGAACTTTGAAAATGAAAAGTGCTATGTAAGTGTTAAAGTGGACTCTTTTCCAGCATAAGGCAAAAGTGTGACAGTCTCATGTGGTTGATTTGTGTGCCTTTAAAATATTGGCATCAAATTTCAGACGGTTGTGTTGTCATCATGTCTATTGTGACTCAGACCAAACCACCCCAATTTTATTAAATGCAAATACATGGTCCCAGATTGAATTAGTCTGCATAAAAGACTGCCAAAAAGCTGAACTTCTTATACACACCCTTTATTAATTTCACTAGGGCTCAGTAAATCCCCATTTAACTACTTTTTTTCTCTAGGCTGTAAATTATACTCTGAGGAGCAAACAAGATTTTCCAGATGCTGAACATCCTTGTTGATATTAATTGCTTTACTTCGGAGGAATGATGAGTGCTGACCACTCAGGGGCCCAGGCTCTGCAAATTAAAGATTTAAGGGTGGGGAGGGAAAGCCAAGAATGGATTTTCCTCTCCAGGTGAAATGTACAAACATCTACTTACTTCCTTGCACAGCCGTGCGTGTGGTGTTTCTCCTGCCCCCGGCAGCCTCTTCGCTTTCACTCCCATGCGCCCTCCTTTCTTTTTCCTCCTCTTTTCATTCCCTCTCCCCCAGCCCCGCTCCATGCTGTCCTCTCCGCGCCCTGCCCCGCTCTCCTCCCCCTCACCTTGAACTCCTGGTGGAAGTAGCTGTGCTCCGGAGGGTCCCTGCGGCCGGGCGGGATGTAGCTGAAGGCGGACAGGGCGCAGAGCGGCAGCTGGTGTTTCCCGCTTGCCTGCTCAGCTGCTTTCTCCTCCCGCTGCCCGTCTGGTTCCGTCGCCTCCTGGGTGCGCGGCATCCCGCGGCCAGAGCCCGGCCCGCCTGGGGCACAGAGCAGGGAGGCCCCGCTGTTGCTGGTGTTTCTGCGTCCCGTGGTTACTAGGAAACACACTGAGTATCCAATTGTGAGGTCACACAAAGGGAGCGGGAAATGAGAGGCGCCGTGCGCCACATAACAAGCTGTAGGGTGTTGGCACCAAAGGCAGGTAAGTTGTGCCCTGCAAAGCGCTCGCAGGGTGGGCGAAGTTTCCCCCCATGTGTTCATTTGTCCCTCTACAGCCCAGGTGGCTCCATAGCAGGACGCCCCCTTCTGGCTCCCGGCCTAGGTGTATTTTTGACAGGGTTTCATCCTTTCAGGTAATGTGCTGAAATAGCTCCCGCATGCTCAGATATTGGAAGGACATGGAAAGAGCCCCTGTGTCTCAAGCTCGCCTGTCAGGTGGGCTCCCAGTCCCCCTACTCTGGGTTTGGACTGTGCTGTGCGGCTCCCACTTTCCACTTCACCGGTTCTGTATTTGGCCAGAGGCTCGCTGTGGGGAGGCGGTTTGCTAGCCTGGTAGTTCTGTGCAGGGATCTGTGGTGCAGGCTTGTTGGTTTTTAATTGTTCTCCCCAGTGACTGGTGCATTGGGGTGCGGTTGCTGGTCTTGGCCCTAGAGTTCAGTTGTTGCACTGCTCAGGAGGTCAATGTTTCTGATTCTGAGGAGGAGTGAGATATAGGAGTGGATCATGCTTTTATTTGGATTTAATGTTTCCTAGGGGAGACTGAGCATCTGTAGCTTTGGCTGAGATGGTACCAATCATTTCTTTTCTTTCTGTGTATGTATGTGGGGGGATAGCTGGGGGGAAGGACAGCTCAGTGGTTTGGGCATTGGCCTGCTAAACCCCATGTTGTGAGTTCAATCCTTGAGGGGGCCATTTAGGGTTCTGGGGCAAAAAAAAAAAAAATTGGGGACTGGTCCTGCTTTGAGCAGGGGGTTGGACTAGATGACCTCCTGAGGTCCCTTCCAACTCTGATATTCTATGTGACCTTGAATAATGGACGCTCCTGCATCTTCCCCTGCGTGTTCCTCAGTGACTGATCCCCCTCTCTGAGGAAGTCTGCAATGTATTTGGGCCATATCAGTTAGAGCACACAGCCAGAGCAGTAGAATAGGTCCTTAAAAGGTCATAAAGTTTCATTTACACCCATGTTTAAATCCCCTTTACCCTGCGAGAGCAAAGTGTCCTATTAGATATGAGAATTGGGCCTAACTTCTTTGCTTTCTAACTTGTGTTCGATTCTCCTCACTCAAATTGGGCACCCAAAAAATTAACTTCTGACTTAGTAGCAGTTTACAACCACTTCACATTCATTTTGTAGAGAGATAAATTTAATAATTTTATTAAGATAATGTTGAAGTAAAAAGAAAACGGTAGAGAGTTTAGGCCTAGAAGTTTTTGGTTATCAGGGAATAAGGTACAGATTATCAAGGGGTGCGAAATTCGGTTTAGTGGCATAAGGAATACATAATCTGCAATCTCCCCGATTGGGGGTAAAAGTTTAATGGGTCAAAGTACAGACATTGAGATATGGGGGTATGTTGTCCATATAATGGCTATGTTCAGGTGTGGAGTATAATGAGCGGTTATGATGATGAGATGGATCTACCCTCATTTGGTGGGATTTAATGTTCAATGAGTTTATGGTCACAGTTCATATGGTCCAATGGAAAAAGTCTCTCAGTCCTTTCCCATAGTTGATGCACAATGTTGTACCGGCTTACACCTCCTGGTACTGTCGGTGGCCGGTGATGGGTTTGATGTAGATGTCCCTGGACCATCGGATGGTGTCCGAGACCATGAGGCGCCACATGAGCCGTGAGTAGCGTCAACCGATCCCACAGTTCCGCAGCACATGCTCGTTGCAGGGGTCCCAAGCGCCCAGGGCTCCGATGATCAGGGCATCCATCTGCACCTCGTAGCCCTTCGCTCTTAGGGTGTCGGCCAGGGGGGCGTAAAGGGGCAAGGCAATGGAGAATATAACCCCATAGAACAAAGTGGCAGATTGATCTGACAAGTAGTTTTATCTTCCAAGGACTCTGCTGTTGTGATTTTTACTTTTTAAAATATTCTTATCTGTGAGCTCCCTTTCTGACAAGATACAAATCATTATAACTCTGTTCGGTAGCGTACAACATCAAGGACACAATTCAGCAGAAGAGTTCATCAGTAAAGTCCCTAGAGAGGAACTTGTTAAGCAAATGGTAGCATTAGAAGCGCAGAAAAGAACAGGAAGACTGACACATGGCATTTAGAGACATGATGAGCACTGATGAGAATCATAAGAACTCTGATCTCGCTACCAGAAGTAAACTGAGCTGGCATAAAGTAGTAGTAGTAGTCGTCGTGGCACTGATGGCGGACAGCTAGCCTGCTTGTCAGATTAGCAATTCAACCTTGGTAGGAATCATGTCCTTGATTTCTGGCCTCAGTATCTATCAGATGTCCAGACACTCTTGGTACTCAGCCAAGCCCTGCATTAGAGAAGACTTCCTAGCAAATGCTGCAACTGGTCATTCAGGTGAAGAGCTGGGAAGACTCTGACTAGTTTTTGAAGGTGACTTTTCCTTCCTGCCAGCATAACCTCTATCTTACTCAGTTTAAACTTGAGCCAGTTGTTTCACAGAGGTGCATATTTCCTCTAGACCATTGGGCAGCTGGGTGATGGCAGAATGTATGTGCCCCAAAAAAGAAGGAAACAGTAGAGAAGCTCTAGATGAGATGGGAACAGTAGAGTAGCAGCAGTAGGGTTGAACAAATGTTTTATAGGAAATTTGACAAATTTCACCTCTGTTCTGTTCATCAGTTATCCACAAACCATTTTTAGAATGTTCTGGAATGTATTTCTTGTTCCAAGGGATTCCATGAATAACTTCTATGATTGATTCTTGGTGTGTAGATTCAAGTTTGTGTTTAGTCAGCATCTGAACCTTTTTGTTACTTTGGACTGCTTGCTGTTTGTGCTCCCTGACTTAGATGAGCATAACTCTGCCCCACAAACCCACTTCACAGACAATCATGTTCACAGGCTGAAATATGGGGCTTGGGAATCATTCAAAAAAAAATTTCCCACAAAACAAAACTTCTAAAAACTATTTGTTCAGTGTCAATTAAAATGTTAATTTTGATAAAACTGAAATGATCTCTTTTGATTTCCCCATTTAAAAACATTTTATTTGTATTTAATTTGATTTGATGTTTTAAAAATAGGGCCTAATACTTTATTTTATATTACATTCTAATTTAAAAATAACTTGGTGACTGGTATTCTACTTGGCAGAATTCTAATTGATTTGGCAACTGGTACTTGGTTTGCTCAATTGGTATTCTAACTTGCTATTTGTAATGGGTATTCTGTTTGGTAATTTGTATTGTAAATGGCCCAATAATATAAAATAAATTTCAAAACAACATTTTGAAAACAAAATCAAAATGTTCCATTCAATAAGGTCAGCCTTACTGGGATGCTTCATTTTGATTTTTTTTTTAATGAAATGTTATTGAAATTCATGCAGGACATTTTCATTTTGACTAATTGACATATTGTAATAGAAAAATGTTCCCTTGGTAATATTTTTGACCAGGTCTAGTCACGAACTGTTTTTGTCAGATTTTATCCTACAGCATGTGCAGTTGCTGATTGATTAAAATATTCTTCCACCACATTTCTACCCATCACAGGTTGCTGCTCCCCTTCCCCCTTAACTTCCACCCCCAATTAAGCATTTTAAAAAACTTAGGAAACTAACATACAAAAACTTGATTGTGAATCTGTCAGGGTTGCTATACACACACCATATGTGACAAACCCACAAATGCAAGGAAATAAAAAGTGAAGCCTCCTAGCAGTATATACTATCTTCACCCCACAACCACATCCCTTACCATTACCACAACTACTGGGCACCACCACTCATTGGCACACAACCATCCAAACTTCCCCAAACAACACAACCACCTACTACACCAAATATCTGCAACAACTAGGATCAAGAAAAGTGTGGTGAGTTTAGGTTGTGCTGTATGATAGTGGTGGGAAAGGTAAGGTCTGTGCTTGTGAGTGGTGGAATACAATTATGCACTGTTTTCATTGCCTTGTTTATGGGGGTTTGTGTCAGGTATGCTGTGAGTGCAGCAACATGTAACTGCTCCACCACAATACATGTTTTTTTGGTGCATTAATTCTTTGTTTGCTTAAAACTCTCTTTCTGTGAACGTTCCTGCTAGTATATTCATTTGCTGTAATATCTGCAGAAAGCAAACACACACCAAGCAGACACAAATTACATTTTTATTTTGGCAAACATTTATGGGAAAACCTGGAAGTACTGACCCAGTTCTAGTCATCAACGTATTATTGAAATATGAGCCCATAACACATCACTGTGTCATCTAGGGGTGTAACATAAATTGCTTAAGGCCAGATTATGCCTGGCTTCATGTGCACTGATGGAGCCAAGGATGAGGTGTGGCAGAGAGAATGTAAGATCATGGTTGGCTCACCCCCAACTGACTGGCCATTGGAACCGATCAGCTTCAGGAGGGGTACTTAACTGCACCTAAAAAGTGAGTAGTGGCAGCTTCAGCATGCCTAGGAAGTTTGGGAAGCAGGGTGCCTCTGCACAACCCCTTCCAGTGCATTTTACCGACATTAGCCCTTCAGTGAATCTGAACTGTATCCACTCAGCACCAGAACCTCATGCTGTGAGAAACTAAGTCACATCTAGCATGGCCTCGTGGGTCACCAAGAACAAGCAGAGAGTAGGAATGGAAACTCCTCCTCCTGCCAAGAATTTGGGCCTCCATGGCAGCTCTACCGGCAATCAGGGCCTCTATAAGTAACTCTGACCCTTGCCATTCCTAGATGGCAAAAGTCAATGGAGTGTACCTGAGATGCCTATTGATTGACTGTCATGTTCTTTTTTCAGGAGGGGACTCTATCACCCACCCTAAAATATGCAATGGCTCAAGTCACACTTGTGACACTGGTAGACCAGGTGCTAGCTCATTCCAAAGCCCCAGCCTCATTGAATACTTATAAATGCATTGCTGGAAGCCAGGCTAATTTACTTGTGATTGTTAAATGTATAAGAGTGTACCTGGTGTTTACACTTCATGAAAACTAACGG